AACAGCATTGCCTTTAATCCTGCAGCCTTAAGAAACAAAGCCCTGTTTCTACCAAAGAAATCTTTAAAATGCTTCCCAGAACATCCAGAACCACTTAGAGCATCTGGGATGTACTGGGAAGCATTTTAAGATGCTTAGAGCATCCTTATTGAGTCCAAGAATCCAAAGAGATGGACCGTAATTTCAGTTAAGCAGTGTTCTCAGACTTTAGGACCCATCAGAATAATTTGGAGGGCTGTTTACACAGATTTCTGAGCTTTACCCCCAGAGTTTTGGATTCAGCAGGCCTGGGGTAGAACCCCAATTTTCATTTCTAATGAGTTCCCACATGATACTGTTGGTGGTGTTTTAGGGACCACACTGTGAGAACCACTGAGATCATAGATATAGTTGAAGTATGAGTCACCTGATTCTGGAGTAGAACATGTGCAGAAGTCTTTCTACTAAAGTGAATTGTCTGATAACCCCTGTAAAAATGAGACCTTCCTACTTTCAGCCCCCATAATTTCAACCCTGCACCACTCTTTCCCTACTTTTTAAATGTATTGTTAAGGGAAATGGTTTCATGAAATTGTTTTTAAATTTTATGAGCCAGATAAAATCTATAGAAATGCTCTCCAGAAAAGCCTATATACACATTGCTTAAAATTTCAGGAGGTTCTTGGACAACTCCTCCACTGGCCCACCCAATGGCCCCTAGAAGTATCAGTAGAAAAACTATGCCCTATGAGTTCACTTGAATGTAACAAAAATTCCCTCCTCATACTTAACTTTTAGGTTAAGTACACTCATCTGTAAAATAGGAATAATGATAATAGTTCTTACCTCAAAGATTATAACTGGTGTAATACATGGAAGAGTCTAATTCGAAAACCAAAAACGCTAAATATTACCCTTTTCTCTCTTTTTGTAGTTCTGTTACAACACAACAATCTTCATTCTTGAGGCAAATGGATGCCTCTCCCTGCTAGGGGAAAGATCAGGAAGTATAAGAGAGGAAGAGCCCATCCCTGGCCAGATGGCTCAGTTGGTTGGAGCATCATCCTGTACACCAAAGGGTTGCAGGTTTAGTTCCCAGTTAGGGCACATAGCTAGGTCGCAGGTTCAGTCCCTGGTTAGGGCTACAGGAGGCAACCGCTCAATGTTTCTTTTTCACATCGATGTTTCCCTCTCTCTCCCTGCAACCCCGCAGCCCTTCCTTTCAAAAATTCATAAACGTATCCTCAGATGAGGATTTAAAAAAAACAAGAGCCCAAAGAATAATAGTTCAAGAGCTTACTCTGTGCCCATTGCTTTCTTTTGCTAAACTCTGGTTAGTCTGCTGTTGTGGTTCTTTCTGTGAGTCATTAAGCAGTGGAGGATACAAGCCCCTAGGTCTGACTCTGTGACACAAGGATCTCAATTCATTTGTCCTGAAATAGTCCACTTTGCAAATGTCCAGTGCCTTCTCATGTCCTCATGTTAATGCCTCCTGACAGGAAGACAGAAATATAAAATTCTAATAAAGGCTGATTTTCAGGCTAGAAGACACTGAGTCTTGAGAAATGATGATTAAAAGTTAAGCTTGATTCTCATTGTGTCTACAAAAATAAATACGTTTTCTATTTCACATCAATGTTTCCCTCTCTCTGTCTCTTCCCCTTTCTCTAAAATCAATAAGCATGTCCTCAGATGAGGATAAAAAAATAAAAATAAAAAAAATAAGTAATACATTGATAGGCCAATCAGCAGACATTTATTTAGCACCTACTCTGTACACTGTGCAAAAGATGACACAAAGAATAACACATGCTTCTATGCTGTGCCGACTCACAGACCAACAGGGAAGATAGAGCAAAAATAAAACCAAACCCAAAGTGAGCCATAGCAAGAACAGTGATTGTTCAGACAGTGTTGCAGGTGTACAGGAGAGGGAGAAATTAATTTTGACCAGGATCCATAGGTCTCCTGGGCAACATGATATTTCAGCTGGACCCTGCTGTAGGTAAATATGAAGGAGAAGGGCATCCTAGGCTGTAGGAATAGTTTGAGGAAAAACATGGAGATAGAAAAAAGCTTGGTATAAATTTGCGGTTTTATGATCTAACCAGTGTGACCATAGTGTGGGTTTGGGGGTAAAGGTGTAGAACTTGCTAGAAGGATAAATTGGAAGCATATCGTAAGAAGGAAACCAAAGCAGCTTTGGCTTTTCTCTCCATGCAGTGGGGAAAGATTGAGGGTCTTTGAGTAGAGAGATACCCAAAGCAGATCTGTTTTTATAAAAAGAGAATCCTGGTGAGGAATAGACAGTAGAAAGCAAGAAGAAAGTAAGACCTGGAAAAGATGCTGGGAATCTGAACTAAAGCCAGAGGAGTGGGAGTAGCGTGGAGGGATGAGGATGAAAGGCATTTGAGAGGCTGCATTCGTTTGTGGGTGGTTGATGACAGGTAGCAAAGAAAGCTGAGGTGAGCTGAGACTGCTCCCCCAGGCCAGGCTGCCCCATGAAGCAGACCATGGTCCCAGAGGAAGAGTCTGGCTACAGGCCCCAAGGCCAGGGGATAAAGGATACCTCTCAGCCATCCCAAGACTTTTCTCCCTCCTAGAACTCCCAGAGGGGGAACAACTGACCATCTGCTTTGCCTGCATGAAATACCAAAATCACTGAATCCAAACATGGGTCCTCAGCCCAGTAGCTTCAGAAGTCCCGAAGGTCTTTTTAAACAACTTTCAGGTACTGTTGCAGGCGAACCTGAGGTGAGCCGGAGGTGGGGCCCAGGCATCCATGTTTTATAAAGCTCCCAGGTGATTCTGATGCACAGCTGGATTTGGGAACTAATGTGGGACCTTACCATTGTGCTGGGAAATGTACAGAAAATACAGCATCAACACATAGTGCCGGTGAATGCTATGATGGCTTGAAGACCTTAGGTTTTGGTCTCCAACAGTGTCTCAAGCATCATGACCTTCACTCAGTGCCTCAGCTTACCCTTCATCTTCAATTCTAATCCTCAGCAAATACATCAGGAGATAGAAGCTGCATGCTTAACAAGTTCCCCTGAACTTTCCAGAAGAACAGTGTGCATACCAGCCTTCCTTTTCACTCTTGTCCTCAGTTGAAATAGAGAGAGAGCGTGGCTGCATCACAGAGACACCAGAAGAGAGTCTTGTTACAGGGTGCTTTCAGTCTTTAGAAGACAGACTTCATAAAAATACTACCCATTTTCTGCAAGGCCTGTATAACACCCGCAGAACTGTTATTGCTGTTGTTGTTTTTATTTCTCAGAAAAATCATACAGTTCAACGGTAAGGCAGATATTAAAAGCATCCCTTCTATACACCATGATTCGGTGACTCGTGCAAAGTCAGACAACCAGAGCAGGTCCTGAGTCCACCGTCCTCTGGAGCACCGACTCTGCTCTGTGCCATGATGGAGAAGGGCAACATTGGGGCATTTTTGTCTCCTTGTAAAAGAGAAAAAGTGGGGGGAGGAAGGATTACTAAAACACACCTCACTCACACTGCAATCACTGCATTGTTTTTCCTGTTGAAACACCCTGTTGGTTTTTAAATCCCTTTAAACCTACCCGGCACCTGTATGGCCTGGATCCAAGAATTATTACCGAACTTCTCACTTTTTTATATCTAGCCACATAGGAATTTCTGTGATGGTACCTGGCTCCTGGTTCAGTTGAAAATTTCAAAGTTTCTGGAAGTTTTCTTCTTCTGTAGACCTAGAAGTATGCAATGCTCAGAAACTGATTTGTTTTTTAATTAAGCAGAGATGTTTCCCCCTTTTAGTTCTCCTACTGGATAAAATAGGAGCACAGAATAACCTGGATTGTTTCTCTGTAAAGACACTTCTGAAATATTAACCAGAAGAGAGGGCAGGGAACAGATATGGAAAGGGGTGGGGGTCTCTTCTAGCAGCATATGGTATATGAGATGACCTCTCTTCGGGGCAATACTGAGGCTGAAAACATAATGAGAACTTCCCAGCAAATTCATTATAACAAAACATAATGTGAGCTCACTGAGCACAAAAATAGGCTGAAGGAAAGTGACTCCCACATAAGACCTAATTAAATACTTTGATGTCAGAAAGCAGAGCAGGGAGGGGTGGAAAATCAAATCAGACCAAAGTAAAGGGTAAAGGACCTAAATTTAAATGGAAAGAAGAAATCTCTCTCTCTCTCTAGCTCTCTCTCTACCCCCTCCCCTCCACCTCTCATGTGTGTGTGTCTCTCTCTCTCCCCTCCCCTCCACCCCCCATGTTTCTCTCTCTCTCTCTCTCTCTCTCTCTCTCTCTCTGTCTCTCTCTCTCTCCTTTTCTTCCTTTGCCATGAAGGAAGAATAAGATTCAGAAACAATGGGTTGTAAATTCTTCAGCCAATTAGTCCAGTGACTTACTACTGTTTATAATGCACAGAATGTCACAGGCTGTTTTGCGGCCTCCCCAAGTTGGTTTGTTAATAACAGGAAGCTAGCACTTCTCAGTACAGTGGATCAGCTACACGTGAAAATAAATGCAAAAAACCTGGAGAGGAATAGAAGCAGACCGAGAGTAGCCTTGATTTAATTTAACGTTTGGGGGTCCACACACAAATGAGCATTTTAGTAGGCTTCATGGTGGAAGTTGCTGTCATTTGTAAAATATTCTGGCCAATTAGCTAATAGTGTGCTTGGATTTCTCCTGTTTTGATACAGTAATACTAAGTACATTGTGAAGCCCAATTATACAAATCATCCCCATATGCCATACCAGTCTTTCTTTATGAACTGTGTTTATAAATCCTGTGTGAGGAAATGTGTACTTCAGCAATTTAGACCATGTGTAAAAACATAGCCAATGGGATTGTCAAGAAAACAAGTTCCAGCCTAGGAAGCCCTAATGTGTTCCGCTGGAATAACAGGAGGGTGCCTGGAGTGCAACGCTCTGCTTAAATACATATTGCTTTATAGTGTTTAACCGGTTCAGGGGCTTCCGCTTCCCTTTCTGTTATTTTATTCTTCTTTTCTTTTAGGATCCAACCTTGGAGTTTTTAAGAAAATTTGGGATTGGTCTTCTCTCAGGCACAATAGCCTCAGTCATTAACATCCCTTTTGATGTTGCCAAAAGTAGGATTCAAGGGCCTCAGCCAGTTCCTGGAGAGATCAAGTACAGAACCTGTTTTGAAACAATGGCAACAGTCTATCAGGAAGAAGGGTAAAGCATTCTTATTTTAATAAATGAGCAAGACTCAAGGATTGTTCAAACCTTATTGTACTTCCGTTTTGATGACAGCCATTAAGCTCTGTTAAATTGGGTGTGTATCTGAGCCACTCTCAGGGGTAGGTGACCAACTTTGCAAGATAACACAATAATGACATGTTGGCAAAACATTCTTACACCGTCAAGAACCATCAGCCACCACCATACAAGATGCTGCGTGTTTGTCTTAAAATGCTGAGATGGGCTTTTTGCTTGCTTGTTTGCATAATATGCTATTGCATATCACATGCCCTGTTAACACACATGGGCAGGAGAGTCATTGTCTTCTGAGTGTAAATGTAATCCAAATGTCACCTAGTTATCCTAATTATATTCTCCTGGGAGAATTAAACATGGAAATTCCGTGAAATTAGTTTTCTTTTAAAAATTTAAAGTATGCACTTTTTTCTGCTGGTCATTTTTTTTTCAAGTCTTTTGTCTCTTTATCCCTCCTCACCTAAGCCTTATTCTCAAATAAGTAATTTTTTGTCATTTTGATCTAAACTGAATCATATTTCCTTATGTGAAGACTGAGTTTGTAGCCTTTTAAATTCAATTACAGAAGTCACTGTGTCCACATACATAACTGTCTCAGAAGTAAGACATGTCTTGAAAGCAAAAACCACCATGCTGATGGAAATCATGTTTCTGATTGGGCAAGACCAGCATAGCTTGGGTAATAAAGAATTAATGAACTCTTTCCCCTTGTCCAATTTGTTGCAGAGACTATTCAGCCAGATACTGTCTGGTTTGGGATGTGTATAATTTCAAACAATTTTTTTTTTAATGCCAGGTCAGCACCTCAATAAAGCTGAGGTACAACTCCATTTTGTTTTCAGAATAAGAATGTTGCTCTTTTCCTTTCACTTACAGGATTCTAGCTTTGTACAAAGGCCTGCTCCCCAAGATAATGAGGCTTGGACCAGGTAATTGCATTTTTATTACTTATATCCTTCCTTCTTTATTGTTCTAGTGCCTCTTTTTTTCTTATGGGTGTCTATCAGCAACACAATAAAAGTTTCTCCCACTGTGAAAGACAGAAACGTTGCGGATATGAAGTTGCTGGTGAGTATTCAAGATACTGAAGGCACGTCCATTAGAAACGTTCTACCTGGGTTTATAAGGTACTATTTACAGCCTTGCTGGAGGCTGATAGAGGCCAAAGGCCAGCTTAAGTCAATAGGAAAGGATCCACAGCCAGTTGGAGTTGGAGATGGAATGAGCACCCAGGCATATACACAGTGGCGTCTGGCTGGACGGGAGGATTTTCAGTGTGTGAGGGACCAGCCCAATAAAACTTTCCCTGGTGCTCCTAGTTCATTCTTGCTCCTGCCTCAATTTCATTTCAAAAAGAGAAAAAGAGGGCAACTTTGCCTCCAGGAACAGCAAGAGCCACTTGTCTTCACAGTCACCTCCAGGGAGTGGTAGAGCCACAGCTTGGCGCTCACCGTCCGGGCCTCTGTCAGCATGCCGGTGGAGGCTCCTGGCTCCGGGCCTTACCTCAGGATGCCAGCCCACAAAAAAAAAAAAAAAACAACGGCTGCCATTGCCTCAGGGAGAGTCAGCTGCCTCTATGTAAATAGATAAGAAAATAACTGCTACAGACTCAACCGCCTGGGCAAATAGTCTTGGATTATAAGCAACATTGTGAAAAAGTACGGAAGTATACACTAGAACACACATATTTTTTTTAGCAGGCCACACTCACCTACTTAGACATCCTGGTGACCTTCCTCAGAACCTTCCCCTACTCCTTTCTTCTCTCCCTTTCCCATTCTTTGTTAACATTCATGTCCTCCTCCTGTACCACCCTCACATGCATGCACATTCACCCTTAGATCTCAACCCAAATAACCAGCATTTCTACCAATCTGAGATACAGCACAACAGTCTGTAAGTTGATGCTGGTAAATAATATTTTCTTTTATTTAGAAAACACTTCATCAGTTCCCAATCCATCTATCCCAACTTTTCTAGGCATTTAAGCATGGATTGTGCTTCACATTTGAGATTCAGACTTGCCTTTTGTTAGTCATTGGCCCATGTGTATAAAAGGACCCAATAATGAGAATATTGGTGATTTTGTGCAACTATCTCTGTAAGTATGTGTTTTTCCTTCACCACACAGTAAAAACCCGCTCGTAGACCTAGCATTAGGGAAAATCATAGGACTGGCCCTAACCCAGCTTTCTCAGGAGGGGATGGGTGTGAAAAGGGTGAAAACCCTGGAGAGTTTAACTATATGGTCATTGACTGGAAACTTAATCCAAAACTCTTTAAATAATCTGACCCCAAGTTTTGTTAAAGGCTTGCAAATGTTTGGTTGGCTTTTAAAATATTTTTGCATGAGGTGTCCTGAGTTGCTGTGGTGTTAAATCTAATGAAAAGCGTTGTTGTGAATGTACTGTCCAAGTAAACAACACTGAATGACTGGAAAGCTCATTCAAAGACCTGGCCTCCACTCTCATTCCAAACATGCAAGCCCGACCAACTTCAAAGGAAAGAAAGGTAGAAAGAAAGGTAAGACTTTTGAGTTAAGGATAAAATTTAAAAGAGAGAAAGAGAAAGAGTAAAAAAGAAAAGGAAGATGAACCTGGACTTCCCATCCCTCGCTCTGGAGAAGCATCTCATCCTGTTTTTGTAACAGCCTTAGTAGCTCTTCGTGGCTACTGATAGGTACCTCCTGTGAAAGGAGAATCTCAAAGCCTATGGTTTAAACTCCAAATATCAGTAGACTGAAAACTAGCCCAATTCTGTGTGTTCTCGTCTTACACCACGAATAGTTACTGAGAGCAAACACAGCAGTTACATACATATTAACAACCCTCTACAGTATGTCCCTCCTCATTTGCCAGAGCGCCAAGAGGGCTATAGCAGTGAGGCAGGTCTAATAGAGCATCTTCATGGGTTAAAAATGAAAATTACAGGCAGATCATTATCTTTGGTATAAGGTTACACAAACATGTGCGGCCTGTAGATTTTTTTTAAAAGCATATGGCAGTGTGTACAAAATAACTAAAACCAAAATCAAGTTTTATTTCTTTCTGTCAGAAGTCAGTCCTCTGTTCATGCACCCAAGTCTTCTCTAAGTTTTGCCGAGAATATTTATCCACATTTTGATTTTGTAATATTTTTCACACAGACATGAAAGAATAAATAGAGATTGTCTTAAAGGACACATAACATGTGCAATTTACTGCATCCGATAGAACGCAGAATCACCCACATATAAATGCTCCCGTGATGTCTAGGTATTCAGCAGGCTTGGAGCCTATTTTCCTGTATCATATTCCTCTTGATATATTACATAGTAAGCCTCTTGGCAGCCAGTTATATAACTCTTCTCTGTCAAGATGAATGGTGTTCTTATGACACCCAACCCCTACTACCAAATTTTCAAGTGACACCCATATATGGCCTAGGCAGATAAAAGGAATGGAAAAAAAGGATAAAAACTAGCTTAGTTTTGCAATTCATATTCTTTTTTAGTATTCAGAAGCTATTTTTCACATTGCAATCCAATTTGAAAGCTGTAAGAGAAAACTAGATTCATTCATCAAGCACCATCTTAGAGATTTTCTTCTTGAATGCAACTACAACAATGCTAATTGTGGACTGAAAAAGACAAATCCTTTGCCTATGTGAGAAGAATCTGAAGCCTTCTGTTCGCAGGAAAGCCACATGCCCTTACATGACTAAATGTCTATATTTATTTACTTTTAAAAATTAAAAGTCTGAAAAAGAATCTGATGAGAAATGATGAAAGTTACAGAAACTCATGGGGAAAAAATGTATTTGGAGACTCAAGATGGTCTTGATTTTGCTCTAAGAATGTTCCACAGAGTTTTGTATCTATGTATTGGAGCTCAAGAACTGATGGATCTAAACAGCCCTGGCCTGACAGGCTGCATGGGACTTCGTGGATTCAGAAACTCTGGGAAAGACAACATTATTTTACAGGATTTGTGATGAAAGCCAGCTCTTTTCTTTTCTAGGTGGTGCGGTGATGCTGCTGGTTTATGAATACACCTATTCATGGCTTCAGGAGAACTGGTGATTGCCTATGAAGTGTTCTTACCCCTTGAGATAATTCAAATTTGCTATACAGCACCTTGAGACTATCAATCAGCTAGGCCAATACAATTATAAATTATAATTATACAATAATTATATACAATTATAAAGGGGAAAACAGTTTAAGAATGAAACCTATTTTGATACTTGAGAAATTATCTCTATACAATTTGAGACTATAGTTATGGCAATATCCATAAAATTATAAGAAGAAAATAATATAAAGCAATAAGTTATATAAACTGAATATAGAAAAATAGCATAGAAATCAGATATATTTCATAAAAGCATTTTAAATTTTGTGACCTATGTTTAACTTACATAGCTGCACAATGAAAATCATTGTATTAATAATTATTTTTTCCCAAAAGCCAAGAAATGCTTATGGTAAAAAAAGAAAAAGGCAAAATTTAAGCAGTTTTGATAAGAATTAAACTCTTCCATAAATAATATTTAAAAGTCATAATGAAAATATTTTTAAAGTGCATTAAAATGGTCTTTTAAAAATATTGAAATTTATGTTAAAATGTAAATCTGGTTTTTTTAGTAATAATACAAATCTCAGCTACATTTTTAAAAATCTACTTTATATTTTGCAATGCTATTTAAAGCAGGTCATACTTAAAATCCAGATATTTGAAGTCTTTTGTGACAAATAGAAAAATGAAGTTTTATTAAACTACTTTCCTTCACATAGTTCCCTTTGAGAACAAGTTTTGTTGCTGAATATGTTCATGTTAAGTCACAAATTGGAACCACTCTTTGGGCCCATTTGTGCTGCCTGCATTTGTGTCCAGGTACCTTTGTTAAGAACTCTTACCTATGCCTTTCTTAAAAAGGATGTTTACAGTAAAAGTACATTTCCAGGTTATTAGTTATGAGTAACAGCTTCAGGTGAGAAGTCTATTTGCAGTGTTAAGACCTGTATTATTCAGGAAAAATGATGTTTCAAAATAAAAGTACATTCTTAGCATTTCCAAAGATTCCTGTTCTAACACATACTCCAAAAAAATATCTTCTAGGCCTTGATATAACAACAGAATTTCATATCCCCATCCTTAAATGATGCTACTTCAGTAGCTAAAAATCACCAAAAAATATCTGCATATTCTAGGTGACACCTGTTCTTAACTACTACTATGGGACATTCCTACCATGAGACTATGTCAGTAAGCATTTTGAAAATAAAAAAATAAAAGATAGCATGGTAATTATTACTTTTTATTAATTTAGAGCATTTGAAGTATAAAAATAAAGGCTTTTTGACATACTGTATATACATACACAGCCTTCAGTTGTACATCCTTTCCAGCATGGTTTTTTAAAAAATTTATAGGTCAGCCCAATATTCAAAAGAGGGTCATTGAAAGTAGGGGAAAAAACAAGAGAAATAAGAATGTGTCTATTGTACAACTGCCTTCTGTCCTTGCAGGTAATACCTTGCAGGTAATTCTTTCTCTCCTGTGAGAGAAGCCATGAAATTGCATCTTTAACCTCTCCGTGTGGATGGGATGCAAAAGGATCTCTGAAGGATGCATTTTCCAATTAAAAAACACTTCTACCCCCTAAGAAACAGCGGAAATGTGTCAACATTAATCAATAATAATAATGTTTAAAAATCAAACAATCTCAGCCTCATATCCCATCCCATCGTCCTTCTCTTATTTTTAAAATTAGCTTTAAACCATAATTGCTTTGAATAGCAAATTGTATTTGGGGTTTCTGTTGTTTTTTAAAATTTTCATGTGAATTCACTGTTGCTAAGAAAATACCTAGAGGGGAAAGAAGAAAAGAAAACAAGAAGACTTTGATATCATTAATATTAGATTTTTAAAACACACAAGAACCAGAAAAATTATAAATAGCATAACAAGAGATTTCTTAATTTAGATAAAGAAAATAACATTTAGTTATGTTTCCATACAAACAATTGATAGCTTTTTAAAGACTCCTAATAGCCACCTAAAAACATCTGATAAGGAATAATTCTGTACCTTATGCCAGTTTTCCCGGACAGCAGGAGAGTCCCTGTATGGTATGGTTTTAAAGTCTCCACCAAGATATTGGATTGGTATCTTTGTTTCATTTGGTTTATAGTCTATTTTCTCACCAGACTAGGAACTCCAGATGTCAATAGGAGTTATACAAGATCAAAGGAAGACTATGGCCCTGAGAGTTCATCTGCTCCTTCTGCTTATTCTTCTCCTAAAGTTATTATCCTCTGCTTGTAGCACTGAATTTCAGTTGCTTTAGAAATAAATGCAGTTCAAAGCTCTCTATAAGATAGCTGCTGCTTGAAGAAAGCAGTTCCTTGGACATAACTTGTAGGTCAGAAATCTGCTTACTGTTTACATCCTAGTGATTTGAAAACCTAGCTTATCTAGCCATCTGAGTTTTAAATGAATCCACGAAACCAATGTGATGAGACTGGGTTGCCCTGTGGGCTGTGCACAGCACAGATAGGAAGAAGTCAAAATCATCTAACGAATGCATCTTTAACACCCATATTAATGATGTGCCCTTTTAGTTATTGCACAGAACTAATACCAAAAACTTGCAATATATTAATTTTCCAATAGATGGATTATACCAATGTTTTAAAAATGTATTTTTAAGCCTATATTGCCAAACAGGACGAACTTTATAAACAGAAGAGATAAAAACTGTAGAAGTTTGCTCAAGAAAATCAGTTGTTTTAAAATATAACACATAATCACACGCTCGCACACACATATACCCCACAGCTCTATTGTTAACATTAAAATTGGTCTAGAAAGATTTATCAGTTAAACTGTGTCCTCTGACTACAGAAATGAATAAAGGGAAATTTAAAAAATTAAATAGTATTGTATTTCTAATACCACCACCAGTTTACCTACATGTGAAACATGCTTCTCTACAACAATGTAAACTTCACAGCAAGCCATTTTTACATTCATTAGAGCAGAATTTTCCGTTTTCTTTAAATTACAACATAATTTTGGGCTGAGATTGCTGAACACACAGGTAAGCCAACAATAACAGTACAATTTAGTTTCACAGTGGTTTTAACACAAAGTTCATTTTAAGTGTCTTTGCAAAGCGTTTCACATTAAACGTAAGTTTCTAAGTGACTTCCTTTAGAGCCTTCTTGTTCAGATATTTTCCACCCTCTTGTCTTTGTATGTTTGGCATGTGTGTTGTTTTATTAGGATGCAAAATGGGAGACTGGCTTGTTTTAGCTGTTTTTTGAATCCTCTGCTGTAGAAAGAAAATGTCCTTCATGAGACGTGGAAGCCTTCACTGCACACACAGAACTTATGGCAAGTACAGGTCCAGGAGCCTGAGCAGCCCACCACCAAACAGAGACAAAGATGTTGCCAGAAAGTCACCTTTGCAAAGAGAAAGAAAAAATAGAGAGGGCTAGGGGAGGGGGTATCCCATGGAATGAAAACACAAATGCACCATCCAGAGTCCATATTTACAAACTAATAAGAAATATAAACATTATCATATTTGGAACCAAGTCAAAACACCAGGAGAAGCTAAATTCAGATATTGCTTGTGTTATACATATATTCTCCAACAAAATAGGTCACCTCTTAAAAATAAACAAAGGATCACTCAAACAAATCAGTTATTGATTGGTTTCCTAATGATGAATTAAGAGTTATTGGGTCACCTTATTTGATTAGAGGGTGTAGCATAACTTTTTTCTATATGTATTTTCCTTTATTGATTTTGCAAAATCTCAACAATTGCACGTTTCAAAAGTTTAGGTTGATTTAGAATAAATATACACATGTGGTTTTACCAAAGACTAGTTTAAAAAGTTCCTTAAGCCCTTTGAGGGGTGCAGGTTTCTTCACTACATTAAAACAGTGTGTGGGCAGCACAAATGTCTCATTCAGTCCTTAATATTGCTTTTGTTTTTAAATCCTAACGTCCTGTCAGGTTTTCTGTGAGAGAAGTTTGGCAAGAAATAATTAAGTGTCATCAGCACAAAGGATGTGAGTCCATAAAGCCAGCTCTCCAGGCGAAAGGGTTGGAGGGCGGGAGGGGGAGGGGTGCGGGGGGGGGCTGGGTGAGGCTGTTGCAGACGGAATGTCCCATCAGAGTGCGGAAGCTGTGACAGAGTGACTACCTTCTCTGGCTGCCTGCATTCCCTTGAACGCCAGCGATGCGGGAATGTCACAGTTGTGGGGGGAAAGTGGGGTGCCACTGGCATGTTGCCATCCGTGTCCAGCAACATAACCAGAAGGAGCAGCGCTGTAGGTCATGTAAGGTGACACTTGGGCTGGGGTAGGATAAGGAGCCATGGTGGACGCTGACACAAAACTGCTCACAGCTGGGAGACCATTTGGTGCCTAAGAGGAGTAGGAAAAGAGAAGAGGTGAAAATAATCACATTACAGCAGTTGACATTTCACAGGTTCCTAGAAGCAGACTGTGATTTTTGAGTAGTAGTAGCTAACAATATTCTGACTCTACTTTCTGATTTTTTTTTTCTTTTTAGATTTGGCCTTACGTATATTCTAAATGCATTCACAGCCTTGCCACTTAAACAAACACGAAGACAAAAGATGAGATTTTATTCTTTCCACAAAGGTTTTGAGGAGGCTATGACCAGAAAATTCACAGTATTTGCTTTGCTATTCAGAATTATAGGAAGGCAATGCAGGGTGAGGAAAGAATTAGTAGTGATTAAACAGTCTCAGAATCTGTTCTGCTATCCATATGCCTTTCTCAACCTTCCCCATACTTCGGTTTTGTTTGGCTCTTTTGCTGAGACATTTGTGTAGGGCCTGGTTGGTATAGCTTTCATTTCCAGTAAAAAAGGGCACAGAGCATGGGCTGTCAGTTTAGAAGCTCAAAATGAGCACAACCTTTGTTATATAAAACAAGTTTAGCATTTTAAAATGTCATTTGGTAAATGCTTGTTGGACAAAGGACATGCAACATCAGGCTGTTTGTCTTTTAAGGGTTTTTAAATGAAGATTGGGGGTGGGGTTTTTTTTTTTCCAAACTATTCTATCAAAAAGGAAACTGGCTGTTCAACTATAAAAGAACTACATATGTGTGGTTTTGAAATTGGAAAATTTGTTTGCAAAGTTTTGGGGCCCTGTGATGTGAATTTTTAAAAGCCACATGGATAAATCTCTTGAAATTAATTTAAATGTAAAATCTCAGCTTGCAAACAAAATGCAGCAGCTTTTGCAGACATGGCTGCCTAGAAACCAGTACTCTCTTGGCATCCAATTATTGTTGGTATCGTTACTATTAACAACACTAAAAACACCCTTATGTCTAATCTGATTCTGGCATGAACACTCAGCATCCTTCTTCAAGTAACTTAATTTTTTTCCCCTCAATTTCTGCATTATTTAAAAATAAAGAGTAAATTCTTTTTCCTGGTAGTGATTTGAGTGAATTAACATAGCAACATATTTCCTAGTGAAAGTTAAAAATGCAAATAATAGATTTATCATTAGCAAAACTGATTTAATCCTTAGAGGTAAGTAAAGCAGGCATATGTTAATTAAATGCTTTTTCCAATTCATTGCAACATAAACATGTTTTCCAATTTAATTCATTTGGATTTTATTTTCATTCCCACATCTCTAATAATGCAGTGATAGGGCCTCAAAATTATTTTCTCAATTTAGAGTAATACTTGGAGTAGAATATATATATATGGGTATGACTTAACACTGCTCCTGAATTTATGACAAAATAAGAATTAACGTAGAAGGGTTAACCCTTGTGTCCTTGGTCTGTAAGAGCATGTTCCTCATGCTCTATTTGCCAAAGTGCCTGTTCTTTGAAAAATGGGGAAGGGGAAAGCATGTCCTGGCACCAAGAAATATCATATTTCGTCGAATAATGAGGACTGTGTTGTACTATTGAGTTTATAATAATTATAAGATAATGAGTACAACACAATGTTGAAGTAAAATTAAAATGTATTACAAGGGTCCCAAAGGGCTATACTGTATTTTTAAAGAAACAAACCATTATGCATCATTATTTAACAAATGAAATCTTATTCTCTTTTTATATGTAATACTATAGATTGAGGAATTTAGCCATTTGCCCTAGTGCAATTGGCAAGCCAGTGCCCATGTGTTAAAAGAAGTTATCACCCTGGTCTGATGCAGGATCTTCTGTGGCAAATATTCCTCTGCTTTTGCTAGACAATTAAAAGATAGATGCCATTTAATCTCAAACTGGAGCATCTTTTGAGATAACATCTGATAAAAGATTCTTTCTTCTTCTAGATTGTCATTGCTATATCCTCACTTTGTTTCTTAAATTCTAAAAAAAAATCTTTTTCCCTTCTTTCTGAAAATGGCTCTGTAAAGAATGGCTCAAAGGATGCACTTTAAGGCCCTCGGCAGATGAGTATGAAGATAGTGAGCTATCACATTGCAGGAGAAATCTAGCATTGCATGAAGATTATAGGTCTGATCATGTTTATTTAGGATTTTCCTAATAACCTATGAGAAACTAGTTTGGAAAGGAATCATTCCGGTTCAGTTATGGAAAGTTGTTTGCCTCTGCATTTGGCCTCTTCCATTCCAGCATTAATTAATATTTTATATTACTGATACTAATGTACACAAAGAATCATAAAATAAGAATGTTAAGATTAAAGTTACTTTTAAAATAATGAAAACCTTTGCTCAACATTTTATAAATACATAAGGTTAGACTATTTAATATTATACATGAAAGAAACAAAATTCTAGTTAGCAGGAAAAAAAATGTCGGTGAGTTCTCTTTGTCATTATAGCTAACTTTTTCTACCCATTCTTTCAATCTTTGCATTTTTCCATTATCCAAATGACAGTTCTCTCTGAAATACTTGCTTTGTTATCTTCCCTTTGCTCCCCTTACACCCTTCTTTTGGAACAACTGCTCCTGGATATGCTGCCCTTTATTTGGCGCTCCTCAACTGTTTCGCTGCAATGTTTACAATCCGCTTTCATGCATCCACTTTTTTTATGCCCAGAATCGTTCCCTCTGAGAAAGCAGGCTAAATTACAGTCTCATCTTAGATAGCTTCCTTGGGATTCGGGCGGAGGTAGAACACTGGATTTAGGCCTGTGTTATTTACCTTCAGGTGCCTTACTTATTCTATGACCACATTTGTTTGTCAAGACTAAAAACACTACTCATTTTTCCATATTTGCCCAATTTCTCACACTGAACACACCCAAATTGCTTTTATATTATTATTCTTATTAAAATGTATATTTCAAAGTTCTCTAAAATCTGCAATATAATTTTAGTGATCTAGGCTCC